CGTGTTTCTTTCTCATCATCATCACGGTGGCTAGGAGATGTTAACTACCTCGCCTGGTGTACAGGAGGTCGTGGGATCGATCCCGACCCTGACGCCTGCTGCTGTATATTTGGGGTTTGCGGTGCCTCTTTCTCCGTGGCCGCGTGGATTTTTTTTTTCCTCCGGGTCCTCCGCTTTTTCCGTCCGCATTTAGAAACGCGAGTTTAGATTATTTAAAATGTTTTTGCTCCTATAAATTCCCACGTGATGATAAAGCCACCTTGTTGAGATATTAACTCTAGATTTGAAGCTTTCGTGACTGCAAGGATTCATATTCGTAGGTTTTTTTGGTAAAGTCACGTAGGTAAAAAAAATAAATTGATAGAAAGTAAAATATAAATAAAATAAAAATCACGACGTTTCGGAGGCAACACAAACTTCCGACTTCAGGTGGAACCGTCACAGCACGATTGCTCCTGCAGTACAAATCAATATTCTGATTCCAACCGGCTCACAGCCCAACATCGTTGACGAATATCTTGGCCCGGTTCTGGGCCTCCCCTAAGTCGACTCAGCCTTAATAATTTAGCAAAAGCTGTGGCGCTTAAATGTTCACCACTGGGGAGACAAAGGCGGCCGAGCGTTGTGCTGACACTCGTGCGCTGATGACCCAATGCCCCCACCGTGATGCTCACAGGCTCCGAGCTGCAGGTGTGCGTGGCCGGGTGAATGATCGTGCGCTCCTACCCATGTCCCCGTGTCCTCGCCCTGATGACCGAATGCCCCTGTGACCTCGCCCTGATGACCCAATGCCCCTGTGACCTTACCCTACTGACCCAATGCCCCCACCGTGATGCTCGCAGGCTCCGAGCTGCAGGTGTGTGTGGCCGGGTGAATGATCGTGCCCTCCTACCCATGTCCCCGTGTCCTCGCCCTGATGACCCAATGCCCCTGTGACCTCGCCCTGATGACCCAATGCCCCTGTGACCTTACCCTACTGACCCAATGCCCCCACCGTGATGCTCGCAGGCTCCGAGCTGCAGGTGTGCGTGGCGGGCGAGTGGTCGTGCTGCACGCGGCGCATGGAGGAGCGCTACGTGGTGGCGGCCCGCAGGGACCTGAGCCACGCCATGCGCTCAGCCTCCTCCGCGCTGAAGCTGCTCGTGGCGGGCAACGCCGCAGCCATCGCCGGTGAGTCGGGGGTGGGGAGGGCAGGGTGGGCAGGGTGGTGCGTGCAGGGTGGGGCGGTGTGTGCAGGGTGGTGAGTGCAGGGTGGGGCGAGCAGGGTGGGGCGGGCAGGGTGGTGCGTGCAGGGTGGTGTGTGTAGGGTGGTGTGTGCAGGGTGGCGTGTGCAGGGTAGTGTGTGCAGGGTGGTGTGTGCAGGGTGGTGTGTGCAGGGTGGTGAGTGCAGGGTGGGGCGGGCAGGGTGGTGTGTGCAGGGGGGTGTGTGCAGGGTGGTGTGTGCAGGGTGGGGCGGGCAGGGTGGTGTGGTGCAGGGTGGTGTGTGCAGGGTGGTGTGTGCAGGGTAGTGTGTGCAGGGTGGTGTGTGCAGGGTGGTGTGTGCAGGGTGGGGCGGGCAGGGTGGTGTGGTGCAGGGTAGTGTGTGCAGGGTGGGGCGGGCAGGGTGGTGTGTGCAGGGTGGTGTGTGCAGGGTGGTGTGTGCAGGGTGGTGAGTGCAGGGTGGGGCGGGCAGGGTGGTGTGTGCAGGGTGGTGTGTGCAGGGTGGTGTGTGCAGGGTGGGGCGGGCAGGGTGGTGTGGTGCAGGGTGGTGTGTGCAGGGTGGTGTGTGCAGGGTGGTGAGTGCAGGGTGGTGTGTGCGGGGTGGTGAGTGCAGGGTGGTGTGTGCAGGGTGGTGTGTGCAGGGTGGTGTGGTGCAGGGTGGTGTGTGCAGGGTGGTGTGTGCAGGGTGGTGAGTGCAGGGTGGTGTGTGCAGGGTGGTGTGTGCAGGGTGGTGTGTGCAGGGTGGTGAGTGCAGGGTGGGGCTGGCAGGGTGGGGCGTGCAGGGTGGTGTGGTGCAGGGTGGGGTGTGCAAGATGATGCATAGCGATACATACACAGTGATATGCACACATTGATACACACACATTGATACACACACACTGCTACATACGCATCGATGCATGCACAGTGGTACAAAGACCCCCGAAAGCCTTTAACAGGCTGTAGGGGCAAGTGCTGTTAGCGAGCACCTATGAAGGCCGGCACGGCACACGAGGGGGTGGGTGGTCAGCACCACGCCCGGCCGCCTTTGTCTCCCCAAGTGGCGATGTTTACACGCCTCACCGGGTACTCGTTTGAGGCTGAGTCGACCTAGGGAAGGGCCAGGACCTGTTAAGATAATCGTCACCGGCGTTGGAAGTGAGCTGGAATGGAACTCGGGTCGCCGTGTTTGCAGCGCAGCGTAGCGCTAACCACTGGGCCACCGCTCCTCACACAGTGATGCATACGCACCGATACACACACACCAAACAGTGGGGGAGACAAAGGCGGCCGGGCGTGGTGCCGACCCCCCCCTCCCCACCCACCCCGCCGCGTGCCGCAGTGCCGGCCTTCGTAGGTGCTTACTCGCGAACGGCACTTGCCCCGAGAGTCCGCGAAGGCTACACGGGGGATCTTTGTCTTTGTCCGTGTGTTTTGAGCGATGTGAGCACATTGTGGTGAGAACACTGGGGTTAGACCGCCGATGTTGAAACACCGAAGACTGCACGCAGATGCGACTGTGGCTTGTGTCCTGTCGAAGTGGTGTGTGTGTGTGGCCGGCACCGTGTCTTGTAAAGCGATGTCTGGCTGCAATGTAGCAGCCTCCCTGCTGCAATGTAACAGCCTCCCTGCTGCAATGTAACAGTCTCCCTGCTGCGATGCAGTTCTAGGCTGGATGGTGCTAAAGCCACCATCCAGCACAGAAGAATTCCCTCATCAAAACACTGCACCGTGTCTCTGACCAGCATCACCTAGCCAGTGAGGTGGAGCACGTACACCAAGCCCTCAGCATGAACGGATATTCTGACCGTACAATCCGCAAAGCTGTCTCCCCAGCCATCTGACGATCCAACCAAAACCATCACTTTGCCATACATAGCAGGGGTTATATTTCCAAAATCTTAAACAAACACAAGATCCAGGTTCGTTTCAACACAGTACACAAAATCCTTGATTTTATCCCGTCTGTAAAGGATGTGATTCCTGACATGCAATACCCGGGTGTCAACTTTTATGAACGACTGGGGGTTTAAGGTTAGCGATTTGTCGTATTATATGGCTGGTATAGCAAATGATAAAACTACAATTACTTTCTAGATTTGAAGCTTTCGTGACTGCAAGGATTGATATTCTTGGGTGTTTTTTCGGTAAAGTCACGTAGGTAAAAATTTTAAATTTAAATTAATAAAAGTAACATAAAATAAAAATAACGACGTTTCGGAGGCAACACAAGCTTCCGTCTTCAGGTCGGAACTGTCACAGCACGATTGCTGTATCAAGTGCAATCAGCTGATACAGCTATCGTGCTGTGACAGTTCCACCTGAAGACGGAAGCTTGTGTTGCCTCCGAAACGTCGTGATTTTAATTTTATTTTTATTTTACTACGTGACTTCACCGAAAAAACCTAAGAATGCAATTACTCTAACTATGCAATTAAAACATTTCTGTGTTTTAATATCAAAGAGTTTTTATTTATTTATTTAGGGCCCCTTTTTAACATCGTGCTACAGGCCCCGGCACAAGCTTCGTCCGGCACTGCGTGTCACTGCCAGCGAGCACCCCCCCCCGCACCCCCCCCCCCGCACCCTCCCCCGCACCCCCCCCCCGCACCCCCCCACGCACCCCCCCCCCCCGCACCCCCCCCCGCGTGTAACCGGACCCTTGCCAGCTGATGGCAGCCTGAACGCAGACGTGTCCAGTTTTTCCCAGCCAGCGCCCACACTGATGTACAGGAGGTCGTGGGTTCGATCCCGACCCAGAGGCCTGCTGCTGTATATTTAGATTTTGCGTGTCTCTCTCTCTCTCTCATCATCATCATCATCACGGTGGCGAGGGAAGACCGACACGGCACACGAGGGGGTGGGTGGCCAGTAACCACGCCCGGCCGCCTTTGTCTCACTAGTGGCGATGTTTACACATCGCACCTGGTACTCATTTGAGGCTGAGTCGACCTAGGGGAGTCCCAGGACCGGTTCAGGCAATCGTCACCAGTGTTGGCCGTGAGTGGGAATCGAACCCGGGTCGCGCAGCCGCTACACTACCGCTCCCCGCACACAGACAGACACACAGACACACACACAGACACACAGACACACACACAGACACACACACACAGACACACACAGACACAGACACACACAGACACAGACACACACACACAGACACACACATACACAGACACACAGACACACACACAGACACACACACAGACACACACACAGGCACACACAGACACACACACACAGACACACACACACAGACACACACAGACACACACAGACACACACAGACACACACACACAGCCACACACAGCCACACACACACAGCCACACACAGACACACACAGACACACACAGACAGACACACACACAGACACACACACACACAGACACACACAGACACAGACACACACACACAGACACACACATACACAGACACACAGACACACACACAGACACACACACAGACACACACAGACACACACACACACACAGACACACACACACAGACACACACAGACACACACAGACACACAGACACACACAGCCACACACAGACACACACAGACACACACAGACAGACACACACACACACAGACACACACACACACACACAGACACACACACACACACAGACACACACACACACTGACACACACAGACACACAGACACACACACAGACACACAGACACACACACAGACAGACACACACACACTGACACACACAGACACACAGACACACAGACACACACAGACACACACACACACAGGCGGTACGAATGCACATGGGGCCGTCCCGCAAGGCTCCGTGACGTCCCTTTAACATTCCTCCTCCTCGTCGTCTTCGCCGTTCACTCGGAATCGCAGCGGCCTCCACGCTGCAGATGTATGTAGACATCTAAATATGCTCATTTATACTGGCAGGAACCTCCTGGTTACACCAGCCCACAGGGGATTGTTGTGTCCGTCCGTCGTGCAGGGTACGGGCTGGGTGGGGAGGGAGGGGAGGGGCTGGGTGGGGAGGGTGGGGAGGGGCTGGGTGGGGATGGTGGGGAGGGGAAGGGTGGAGAGGGTGGGGAGGGGCTGGGTGGGGATGGTGGGGAGGGGAAGGGTGGAGAGGGTGGGGAGGGGCTGGGCGGGGAGGGTGGGGAGGGGCTGGGTGGGAGGGGTGGGGCTGGGTGGGGAGGGGCTGGGTGGGGAGGGGCTGGGTGGGCAGGGTGGGGCTGGGTGGGGGGTGGGAGGGGTGGGGCTGGGTGGGGAGGGGCTGGTCATCCCGTGGTGCCCTTATAAAACTCAACGTTTAACCTACTCACGCCGGCTTGTGCCCGCCCTCACAGTCGGCCATATTTGCGGAATACACCACGCCGCCGTTGACCCTGGCCATTGACCGAGCAACCCAACGTTCCTACCAGCTCCCTCCGCAGGAATGTGTTAGAACTTTATTATTTATTATATTATTTATTATATATATATTTGTATATGTTTTTTCACCGCCGCGCAGCCGCGGAGTGCGTGTTGAAGTCGCCTTTCTGGTTCCATTCTGGAGAGACTCGCTTTGTGCCTTCCACGAAAAATCGACACCGCCACCCACACACAGCTACACACAACCACACACAACCACACACAACAACCGTCATTCGCCACCTAGTGGCGGTGACGTCACCACGACGCTTGTGCCAGGATGTGTGCACCTTGAGGCTGCCACGTGAAGTGTCGAACGTCCGCTGGCAGGAGGTCACGGGGCAGAACCAGCAGGTGCCACGGGTCGACTGACTGAGATGAGCCAGAGCCGGTCCACCGGAACTCCTGAATTCCACAGAGATCCAGTCGGTACCGGTCCAGCTCCCGACAGAGGAGTGGCAGCCTCTTCTCCGCAGTGAGCGTTCGAACATTCCACGTGGCCACACGAAGTGGTTTTTCGTTGTTTCTGGAGGAGCCCCGAGGGTAAAGATTCAATCTCCTGGCTCCGCCAAATGGGGTTTGTCGAGGAGACGTCATAGACGCCTGTCCCCCCGAGGCCTCCGGCACAAGCTTGTTAATTAAATGATTCGGTCGTAGTTTAGTGGTAGTTAATTGAAGGTGGAGGGGTTACCAGCCCCTCGTACCCGTCGAGAGCCCCCATTTAGCCGCTGTGGTGGTCACAGACGCCATGAGGGGAAAGGCCAATTGGAATTGGCCCTCTCCCCCACAGCACTGTCCATGACATCGTTGCCCGTCCGGCACCACGAGGAGGTAGGGGGTTGTTTTACCGGACCCACCACCACCACCACTATGACCACCACCACCATGACCACCACCATGATCACCACCACCACCAAGACCACCACCATGATCACCACCACCACCATAACCACCACCATGACCACCACCACCAAGACCACCACCATGACCATCACCACCACCATGACCACCACCATGACCACCACTGCCACCACCGCCACGACCACCACGATCACGACCACCACGTGGTCACCGCTGTGACAAATTCCGCCTGTGTTTAGTTGCTGCCGCCACTGCTGCTACTGCTGCTACTGCTGCTACTGCTGCCGCCACTGCTGCTACTGCTGCTACTGCTGCTGCTACTGCTGCTACTGCTGCTACTGCTGCTGCTGCTACTGCTGCTGCTACTGCTGCTACTGCTGCTGCTGCTACTGCTGCTACTACTGCTGCTGCTACCTGCTTGCTGCTGCTACTGCTGCTGCTGCTACTGCTGCTACTGCTGCTTACTGCTGCTGCTGCTACTGCTGCTGCTGCTACTGCTGCTGCTGCTACTGCTGCTACTGCTGCTGCTGCTGCTACTTCTGCTGCTGATACTGCTGCTGCTGCTACTGCTGCTGCTACCACTACTGCTGCTGCTGCTGCTACAACTGCTGCTACCACTGCTGCTGCTACTACTGCTGCTGCTGCTACAACTGCTGCTACCACTGCTGCTGCTGCCTCCTGCTGCTGCTGCTGCCACTGCTGCTGCTGCTGCCAATGCTGCTGCTGCTACAACTGCTGCTACCACTGCTGCTGTGCTACTGCTACAACTGCTGCCACTGCTGCTGCTGCTGCCACTGCTGCTGCTGCTACAACTGCTGCTACCACTGCTGCTACTGACACTGCTGCTATTGCTGCTGGCACTGCTGCTGCTGCTACAACTGCTGCTGCTACTACTGCTGCTGCTACTGCTACAACTGCTGCTGCTGCTACTACTGCTGCTGCTACTGCTACAACTGCTGCTACCACTGCTGCTACTGACACTGCTGCTGCCACTGCTGCTGCTACTGCTGCTGCTGCTACCACTGCTGCTGCCACTGCTGCTACTGACACTGCTCCTACTGCTGCTGCTACTGCTGCTGCTGCTACCACTGCTGCTGCCACTGCTGCTACTGACACTGCTGCTACTGCTGCTACTACTGCTGCTGCTGCTACCACTGCTGCTGCTGCCACTGCTGCTGCTGCTACCACTGCTGCTGCTACTGCTACAACTGCTGCTGCCACTACTGCTGCCACTACTGCTGCCGCCGCGGTCTCATCTCGAGCACGCGCATTCAATGGCGGGGCTGTGCCTGGCCCACTACCGCCACTACCACCGCCACTACCACCACCACTACCACCACCGCCACCACCACCACCGCCACTATCACCGCCACCACCACCACCGCCACCGCCACCACCGCCACCGCCACCGCCACCACCGCCACCGCCACCACTACCACCACCGCCACCACCGCCACCACCGCTACCACCGCCACCACCGCCACTACCACCACCGCCACCGCCACCACCGCCACCACCGCCACCGCTTACCACCGCCACCACCACCACCGCCACTACCACCGCCAACACAGCCACCGCCACCACCACCACCACCGCCACCGCCACCGCCACCACCACCGCCACCGCCACCGCCACCACCACCGCCACCACCACCACCGCCACCGCCACCACCACCACCACCGCCACCACCGCCACCACCACCACCACCACCGCCACCACCACCACCGCCACCGCCACCACCACCACCACTGCCACCACCGCCACCACCACCACCATTATCTGATGTGCTGGATTCTTCTGCACGTGTGTCGCTTTATTTTGACAAGCGAAGGTTTGGTGGGTTTTTTTTTTATCTCCAAATACTTTGGTCCCTGGAAATTCTTTGTGTTATTTTTATTTGACACGCACGTATTTATTTTCCGTTGGTTAACGTATAAAGATGGCCCTTTTTTTGGCAGCGGTGACATTCCGAACGGACTTTGAAGGTTCAAGGTGGTGGGGTGGGGGGTGGGAGCCGTGGGTTTTAAGGATGGTTTTATTTATTTGACTTTTTTTAGATTTTCTTTTTATATTTGCTACAAAAAAATAAAAGAATTTGGGCAAACCAAGATTCACCGCCATCTGGCAAATGACGTTCACATTTTTTAGTGTTGTTGTTGTTCTGAGCTCAGGATGGTTCACGTAGCAAAAAAAAATGATTTTACGCAGAGACCCATAGTATCAGATAGAGACTCATAGATCGTATGTACAGAAACCCATAGACTTTACACAGAGACACATAGGATCACATAGAGGCTTATAGACTGACATAGACTCATATATTTGTCTATAGAGACTCATATACTTCACGCAGACACCCATAGCCTCATATAGAGGCCTATAGATGTTATACAGAGACCCATATACTCACTTAGACCCATAGACTTTAGATAGAGAGCCATCACATCACCTCTAGAGGCTTATGGACCCACATAGAGACGCATATACTTCTCGAAATAGTCCCATAGACGTTATGCAGAGACTCATAAGATCACATCGAGGCTTATAGACTCACATAGAGACTCATAGACCTCTCTATAGAGACCCATAGAGTTTACACAGAGACCCATAGGATTACATAGAGGCTTATAAACTCACATAGAGACTCATGGAGATGTCTATAGAGACTCATAGGATCACATAGAGGCTTATAGACTCACATAGAGACTCATAGACCTCTCTATAGAGACCCATAGAGTTTACACAGAGACCCATATGATTACATAGAGGCTTATAAACTCACATAGAGACTCATAGAGATGTCTATAGAGACCCATAGGATGACATAGAGGCTTTGAGATATTCTTGGGTCTTTTGGTAAAAGTCACGTAGATAAGTTTGTAATGTGAGGATATATCCGGGTCGCTGATGGATCACAACTCGTTACGATGATTGGCTCTGCCGGTCCTGGCCCATAGCCAATGGGGTAAGTCTAGGGGCGTGGCCATGACGTAATGGGAAGGTGACATCTGTAAGTAGGGGATTGGTTCTGCTGGCTTTGGCCACAGCCAATGGGGGGACGAGTCAGGGGCGTGGTCCCGGGAGCGTACGATGGAGTCTAGAAGATTCCATAGAGGTTAACCAGGATTGGTGGAAATGTACCACATGACCCGGGTATTAAATAGAGGTGGAGACGAACAACACGTGGTCAGATCTGGAACGAACAGAGGGTGAGGCCACGCGGGAGCGGGGTCCAGGCTGCCACGTGGTCCAGGCTGCCACGTGGTCCAGGCTGCCACGTGGTCCAGGCTGCCACGTGGTCCAGGCTGCCACGTGGTCTAGGCTGCCACGTGGCTGCGCGTGTTTCTCTCTCTTTTCTTCTCACGCTGTCTGTCAGCAGCGTGAAGGAGTAAGATAGGAGTGTTGTAAAAGAAAGACAAATAAAGACTGGATTCCAGAAGTCGCTTCCACGACCTTTGTTACAGGTTCAAAGAAAAAAAACAACAACAATAAACTACGACGCTTATAGATGTTACACAGAGACCCATAAACTCACGTAGAGAAACCTCTAGACTTACATAGATCCAAAAGCTCACACGGAGACTAAGTGACCGATAGATTGACTCACGTCGAGATCCGTATACTCACGGAGAAAAACCTTGAGGGTTGGTGGCCAACACCACGGCCATGCCGCCTTTGTCTGTGGCGATGTTTACACATCGCACCGGGTACTTATTTGAGGCTGAGTCGACCTAGGGGATGCCCAGGACCGGTGCACATCATCGTCACTGGTCTTGGTGCCGAGAGCGGGAATCGAACCCTGCTGACGGCCGGGTTCGTAGCGCAGCGTAGCTCTAACCGCTGCGCCACCGCTCCCCACAGCTGACGTGCACGCACGCAACAAAAAAGACAAAGATCCCCCGTGTAGCCTTAACAGACTGTTGGGGTAAGTGCTGTTAGCGAGCACCTGTGAAGGACGGAATGGTACAAGAGGGGGTGGGTGGCCAGCACCACGCCCGGCCGCATTTGTCTCCTCAGTGGCGATGTTTACACACCGCACCAGATACTAATTGAGGCCGAGTTGATCTAGAAGAGGCCCAGGACCGGTTCAGATAATTGTCACCGGTGTTGGCCTTGAGCGGGAATTTAACCCAGGGTCGCCCCACACACGCACACACGTACGCACATGCACACATGTACACTCACGTACACACACATACACACAACAACAACAACAAGAACCGCCATTCGCCATTAAGTGGCGGTGACGTCACCACGACGCTTGTGCCAGGCTAGGTGCACTTTGAGGCCACGTGAAATGTCGAACGCCCGCTGGCAGGAGGTCACGGGGCAGACCCAGATGCCACAGGTCGACTGACTGAGACGACGGGCTGATGCACCACCTGTGCCCCCTACTGTGCCAACTTGCTGTGCTTTAGCCAACCAGCACTCTGCTCGGTGTTGTGAGCGTCGCTCCTTTGCCCTCCGTTGTTGTTGGAGGGCGACTGCCTCCAACTGCCCAGTAGCGTCCTTCACGAGACTCCTCCACAGAGGCCGATTTTGACACCGCTGGTACCAGCTATCGGCAAGTCCACTCAGCTCCACATCCTCCTGTACCACATCACTCCATCTCTTCTCTAGCCCGTGTCGCGCCCGTTTAGCACCCCTCGATCCGGCCGAATAAAAGCTGTTTAGGCATGCAGTGGCTGGGCATGCGGGCTACATGACCCAGCCAACGCAGCATTGCCTGCTGGAGGAGCTCACCGATGGGACTTTGTCCAGATCTTTCAAGGATTTGTGAGCCCCTCACACAATCCAGCCTGGTTAAACCCAGGATGGATCGTAGGCAGGCCAGCCTAAAGGTTTCAAACCGGTGAAGATGTTTGATTAGGGGGTCCACGTTTTGCAAGCATAGAGAAGGGAGGGAATGACTGTGGCTGAGAAGACCTGAAGCTTCGTGCGAAGCGACAGACCAGGTAGCTTCCACACAGCGTTATGCAACCGATCAAAAGATAATGCCGCTCGACTGATTCGGAGTGAGACCTCTGCTGTTAAACTGGAGCCGGTTATGAGCACGCTGCCCGCGTATGGGAAACTCTCCACTCTCTCCACTACTGCCCCATCACCGATTGGGAGTTGTGGGGGTGGAGTGTCTGATGGTACAAAATACCCATGCAGGTGCTTAGTTTTTTTGGTGGGGCTGATGGTAAGGCCCCACCTCTTAGTGGCACGCTCCAGTCTCAGCAGCAGCGTCTCCAACTCCTCCTCTGAGTGAGAAGCAAATTACCAGATCATCGGCATACATAAGGTGGTTGACCATTAGGGAGCCATCCCTTGATCGCACCTGGGCATCGATCAGCCTCCCATTGTATTTGTACCAGATGGAAATTCCTCCGGTACAGCTATTGAAGGCTTCGCGAACTACTTGGTCGAAATCAATGTTAAATAATGTGTCGCACCCCAAGGTGAACAGGGAATGGCTCCAACTCCCGGCCACGTAGTTTTACCCGGGCCCGCTCACCATCATGAAGGTTCTTAATGGTCATGAGCAGAGGGTCAGGGACTCCGAAATCACGAATAACAACCCAGAGCCCAGGCCTACTGATGGTATCATAGGCCTTGACCAGGTCAATAAAGCAGAGATGTAGGTCTTGTTGAAATTCCATACACCTCTGCTGTAGCAGACGGACAGAAAATATGGCATCTGTGCAGGACCACCATTTCGTGAAACCGCATTGAGGCTCTGCAAGCCTTTCCTCAGCGTACCTAGCAAGGCGATGTTGAATAATCCTTGCCAGGACCTTTCCCAGCACACTGAGGAGTGAGATGCCCATGTAGTTGTTACAGTCTGTGCGGTCCACCTCCTGCGGAACCCGTCCAGTAGTCCAGACTGTTGTTATGATGTCATATAGGGCAGTTTGTGCACAAACGCCACCCTCCCTCAGCATTTTGCTTGGGAGAGAATCTCTGCCCGGTGCCTTTCCTGGTCTCAGACTCTGGATCGCCTTTAGTACTTCCTCAACAGATGGCACCTCAGCCAGCCACTCACAGGGGGTGACTTCTTCCAATATTTGAGGCACCGCAGCCTCAGCAGGGTTATCCCCACTTTGTGCCATGATGTTTTCCTGGCTGAGGGATTTCCCCTCCCCCAAGATCTCACAGAAATGTTCTGCAAATCTGCAAACCTGTTCCTGGGGGTCAGAGATTGGATCACCGTTTTTTCCCCTAATGATGGTAATAGGTGTGGCGCTGCAAGTTACTTTTTTGATGGAGTTAAATAGCGATTTGTGATCGCGGACCATTGAGGCAGACTCCATCTCCTCAGCAACCCACGACCACCACCCATCCTTGCAGCGCCTCACTGCTCTCTGAACCTCTGAGCGAAGGCTGTGGTAAGCCTTCTCATTCTCCGACGTGGGATGATGTAGCCGATGAGAGTGGGCCTGTCGCTTTTTCTCAGCCACCACCACTTTGTCAACCAGGGTCTCTGGGTAGCCATTGCAGCTGCATGAGCCACAATCCTAAACCTCGTCCATTTCCCCTCGACATCAGGAGTGGGGGACGATGCCAACCCCAGCCACAAGCGATGATGAAATTCTCACTTTCAACTTTCATCAGCAAGCTTAGACCATGCCACTAAGGGTTTGAATAGGGTTCTGGGTATACACCCAGCACCGGAGTGAAAGAATGGCAGGCGTATTTTACATGGTCAGTGGGTAGATCAGCTCCACAGTAGGTCCTGGTGTCTAGGACATGGGCTCG